CTTTATTCCAATCTCCTACTCATAAGCACATTTATTTCCACCTCTATGCTTTTGCCAATGCTGTTATCTCTCCTGGCATCTCCTACCCGCTGTGCCACCATCCCCCACCTCCCCTGTCCAAAATCTTGATCATCCTTTAAGGCACACTCAAATCTTTCATGAAACGGCCATGACCACCGACAACTGTGCTTTTAAAAAGCTCTGTGCTTTGTCAAAAGGCACCTTGTCTTTGTGTCTCCCCTAATTAATTACAGTTGGTTGAAAGCAATACTTTTATATATCTAACCACACTGAAATGTCACTATGCATTTTCCAACTGAGTAAAAAAAAAACAAAAAACCTACTCACTTCTAGTGGAAAAATGTTGTCAGAAGTGGATGGGAGGGCTTTCCTGGTGGCGCAGTGGTTAAGAATCCACCTGCCAATGCAGAGGACACGGGTTCGAGCCCTGGTCCGGGAAGATCCCACATGACACGGAGCAACTGAGCCCGTGCGCCGCAACTACTGAGCCTGTGCTCTAGAGCCTGCGAGCCACAACTACTGAAGCCCGTGTGCCACAACTACTGAAGCCCGCACGCCTAGAGCCCGTGCTCCGCAAGGAGAAGCCACCGCAATGAGAAGCCCGTGCACCACAACAAAGAGTAGCCCCCTGATCACCACAACTAGAGAAAGCCCGTGCACAGCAACGAAGACCCAACGCAGCCAAAAATAAATAAATAAATGTATTAAAAAAAAAAAAAGAATAAGTGGATGGGAGCAATTCCTTAGACTCCTTCTCAAAGGAGAAAATACTAGGTGGTTTCCAAGGGTGCAAAAGCCGTCTCCTACACCTTCCCATAAGGAAGAAGGTGGTATCTACACAATCATTACCTGGAACTTACAAAGAAATGCACGCAAGGAAAAACTGGCAGCCTGGAATAATCTCCTCCAATGCTATTGGGCACCATCCTCTTATGTCCTATTGCTGTGGTCCCCAACCTTTTTTGGCACCAGGGACTGGTTTCGTGGAAGACAATTTTTCCACGGACCGGGGGTGGGGGGACGGTTTCAGGATGATTCATGGGCATTACATTTACTGTGCACTTTATTTCTATTATTATTACATTGTAATATATAATGAAGTAATTATACAACTCACCATAATACAGAATCAGTGGGAGCCCTGAGCTTGTTTTCACTTGTCACTCACTGATAAGGTTTTGATATGAGTCTGCAAGCAATTGATTTATTATGGTCTCTGTGCAGGCAAACCTCTCTGCTAATGATAATCTGTATTTGCAGCCGCTCCCCAGCGCTAGCATCACAGCCTCAGCTCCACCTCAGATCGTCAGGCATTAGATTCTCATAAGGAGCGCGCAACCTAGATCCCTCGCATGCGCAGTTCACGGTAGGGTTCGAGCTCCTCTGAGAATCTAATGCCGCAGCTGATCTGACAGGAGGCGGAGCTCAGGCGGTAGTGCAATGATAGGGAGAGTCTGTAAATACAGATGATGCTTCGCTCACCTGCCCACTGCTCACCTCCTGCTGTATGGCCTGGTTCCTAACAGGCCACAGGCTGATACCGGCCCATGGCCCGGGGTTGGGGACCCCTGCCCTATTGTGACAACCATTCAGCATGGATTGAGTGCTTACTGTATGTCAAGCACTGTGCTAAATGCATTATATACATTATCTCATTTAATCCTCCCAACAGCCTGAAGTGGTCCTTACTATCCTGTTGGAAGATGTCACTGAGAGGATGGAACTGCCAACTGACTCTTGAGCAGGACTGGGGTAATCGGAGGCTCCTCACCCCTCCCATCCTTGAAATGTATATTCCACCCGTTCTTCTTGCACTAGGAGCCAGTTCAAGGATGAGGCTTTGAGAGAGTAGGATGTTGTTGAGACCATCAGGATGGGATACACCCTGAACCCCATTAAGGCCTCTATGTAAACTGTTGAGATTCTGGCGGGCCGGTGCAGAGATCTTGTGGCGCCCAAGACAAGCCTTGTATGTAAGTTCCCTTGTTGCTAAACCTGCCACCTACCAATCTGGAGTGGCTGTCTCTTTCTTTGGCCTCTTCTTGCCCTCTGAGTACGGGGCCAGTTTCAGATTTCAGCTGGCAAGTTCCCAAGGGTTCAAACCAACATATCCCCATTTTATAGATGAGACAGCTAACTTACAGAACGGTTCAGCAATTTTCCCAGGGTGACAAAGCAACAAGGTGTTAGAGCTGGTTTGGATCCATGTCACCTGATTTCAAAACTCTCATTCTTAGCTACTATACTATTTATATCTTCTACCTAGAAACTCTAGCTAACATTAAAGAGAATGGTTAATACAACCTTAACTGAAAATGACCAGTTTTGCAATCTTTTTCCCCTTTTCAAGTCTTTTTAAGTAACACCTACTCAGTGTTTAACATAAAATATTTAAATATGTGTAAAAGTTAAACAGAGAGTGTCTTCTTTTTAATGGGCCTCTCTTTTTCTCCAGCATTTCCTGCATAGTGACATTGGCTTGACAATTATTATGCCACAGAATCAATAGTACTAATTTTCACACTTCATTAATAAATAAGTGGAGGCCCCAGATGTTATGGGATGGATCCACAGATCCCCTGGGAGTTGAGAGTCCAAAAAGAAAAAAAAGGCCACTTTAAAAAAAAAAAAAGTTAGGCTGCAGACAAGAGTCTAGAGATCAAAAGTCTAGATTCAAAAGTGAAACTGAAAAAAAAAAAGAAGTGAAACTCTGGATCAGTGCTTTAAGAAGATTTTGAATTTGAATAGGTAAAAATGAAAGAAAAAAAAGATTTGGGGATCCACACCAAAAGCAGATCAGAAACTGTGGTCTTGCATCTGAATGGGAAGCAAGAGTGAGAATCTTTGTTGGTTTGGAAGAGAGAGGATAAGAAAGCTTTCCCGCCAAGCTTTTAACAGTTTGCAGCCTAAGACTTAGAAGTACAAAAATTTCAGGAGCAAAAATGCTATAAATCAGGTTTTCACTGCAATTTTTCTGTATGCTTGAAATTTTTCCTAATACAGTGGTGAGAACATAAAAAAACATAAGAGAATTACTAGGGACCTGGCCAACACTGCAGCTTTAGTCCATAGTGTTGATTTATGTAATTCTTTGCAAAGGATAAAAGCAGGTTCTTTCTACAGATGTAGTAATAAAATAATGGAAGCAGCCAATATATTCAGCACTTACCTTGAGCTCTACCTACATCATCTTATTGAATGTTCACAATTAAGCCATAAGGTATGCATTATTCTCATCTCCCTTTCAGAGAACAGAGGCAGAGTGAGGCTTAAAAAAAATGTGACTAGTTATAAATTCAGTCACATGCCAGCAAGGGGGCAGAGCCAGGATTCAAACCCAGGGCTTCTATTCTGCACAGACCCAGTAGTCTTTCAAGGCCACTGTGAACTCCAGAGACCAACAGGCTGCCAGATATTTAAAATCACTGAATGTGTTCTGGGACTCTCAACAGATTTAGAAAGCTTCCTGAAAATGTGAAAGCAATACACCTTCAGGTTAAAAGCAGAGAGGGGCTCAGGGGCCCAACAAACCTGAGTTCAAATCCTGACTCTGCCACTTAAATCACCTCACCTAGCAAGCCCCAATTTTTCCATCTATGTAAGGGGAATCATAAGTCATAATATTCCCCTCAAGGAGGCTGTTCCAGGGATTGAATGAGAGGATGCATTTAAAGTTTGTAGCACAGGCAAGACCTAATACATGGCGATCTATCAACAAAAGGCAGCCATTGTGGGTATTATTTTGAGCTTACAGGAAGACCAGAGACCCTCAGCCCTGGTGTCATGTTAAAGTACCAAAGCCAAAGGGTTTTGAAAGGATGAAACGGGAGGAAGGACCCATATTTTAAAAGGAGAAAGAAAAGAAAAGGAGAGAGGCTGGACACACTCTGGTTTCCAGGTGCAGAACTAAGACATTTGACTGTGATTTCTACTTGAACCCATGAAAACCAGAGTACAGTTGAGCCATTCTAAAAAGATCTTCTTAATTTGTAATTACAGGTATGGAGAAAGCACACACACACACAATCTTCTACCAGGTGAAGACAGGAAAAGAGCATATTCACAATACTTCGGTCCAACATAGCTCAGCGCCAAGGCAGGAAGCTGAGGGTCCTTGTGAAGGGCGAGACGGCCCTTCCCAGCCCGGATAGAGGTACGGAGCTAAAGCAAGCAGTGCAAGGGCAGGGGACTGCTAAGCGCCCGGGGTTTGCAGGGAGGGCTGGTGACGCTGGGACCCCTGCAGCTGCCTCTATACTTTGAGAGCAGGAGTTTCAACTACTGCATCCTATTCATTAAAAACAAACAATCCTTAGTTTATTTGTTAATGTTGTTGACCCCAAAATACCGTAGACAGAAGTAGCAAATACAGTCTGTCCATTTCAGAACTGCCTTCTAGGATTGTACCCAAACCAGAGACTTTTGAGTCAAGAGAGAAAGGAGGGCGTGCACAGGGTTAACCTTCCCCTAATCCTTTCCCTCCCACTCGCGACCCTGGAGAAGGCAGGGGAAGAAACGCTGGGAATTTCAGGTGTGCCCTGAACCTCACGCCAGGGGAGAAGCAAAAGCAGAAACCCAGCGGACACTCCCCCCTCTCCAGAGACGTGGGCGCTTTCCAGGATGGTCCAAAGGCTCCGGCGTCCTAGTGCATCCCGGGTGGAGAAAAGACCCTCCTCCCTCGGCTGCGGGAAAGACTCTACTTTCCAAGACCGGCTGCGAGCTTGGATCCGCGACTCCCGAGTCCACCCCAGGCTCCCGGCTCAGCTGCCTGGAGATTCCCGAGCCTCCCGGTGAAGCCCAACCCGGAGGCTTTTGTTCGAGGGAGAGAGCGTCGCAGCGCAGCGCAGCGCATCCCCGCAGCGCTGAAAGCCCCGCTGCGGGGGCGCTTCCCTCGGTCCGCTCCCTACCAACCCCGCACTCCCGCGACCACCCGCTCTAGCGCACGGATCCCCAACTGTCCCACCCCCCGCCCGAATACTCACTTCTCCCCAGTCCCTCCGCTTTCCACGCCGTCTCCTCCACCGCCCCATAGCGCCTCAAAGGCTTCTCAGCTTCCAGGTGGATGGACAAAGATTGGTTTAACTCCATCGCTGATCTCCGCTGGCAGATCGACGGGTCTCCCTTTACTCCATCCCCGCTGCGGGTTGCAGGGAGGGAGGCGGCTCCAGCCAGCAGCGTCTTAAGGGGCCGGGCGCTCGTGACGTTGCTCCATCTCTTCCGCCGCCAGGGCCGGGGACAGCCGACTGGTATAGGAGTGGGGGGGGGGGGGGGGGGGGGGGGGGGGAGAGAGAGAGGAAAAAAAAAAAAAAGATGAGGACGCATGCGCAATGGAGGCTTGGGGAGCGGAGCTTGGGGGCTGGGTAGACAGAAAAGAGGGTAGGTGATAACTCTACGAAGAACAACAAAACAACTAAAATAGAACCATCACAAAGGAAGTAAAAACAAGGCAGCAGCCCATACTGGGGCTTGTGACATCAGCGTGCTGCTAGGTTTTGAGTGGGATTTGTGAGAGAATCTCTATCTGGGGGCAATGGATCCATCTTTGTGGCGAGTGTTACAGAAGCGTGAGTGTGGACCTGGATCTGTGGGTTCTGGGCTTGGCTGAGTGCGTTTTTGTGACAATCTCTGTCGTTTGTATCTGTGTGTATTTTGAATTTGAATTTGAATATAAAATGGGACAATCTTGTCTGCCGGTGCCTGTGTCCACTCTGTATGTGTTTGCATGAACTTCAGAGAGACATGAAACTATTTTGGACACAAGTATAACAAAGCTATTTGGAACATGGGTCTTTACTTTCCAGAAACCCAGAGGTTTATCTTAACCAACAAAGCATGGCAGCATTAAAAGTACAAGGTAAAATCAGCAGCTAGACTGATTTTTAAAATAGTACTATTTATTGAATGATGGCTAGGTGCTAAACACTCCCCAATAACTCTGTGAAACAGATACTGTTTTGTTAGCTTTGTTTTATAGAAGATGAAACTGAGGTGCAGCAAGATTAAGTTATTTGCCCAAATTCCCACACTTACCAAGTGGTCTGGTCAGCACTTGAATCCAGACTTAGCCTCTTTATTGTACTGACCTTCTTGACTGCACAGGTATGCAGTTTTGTACTGGGCTGGGGGAGAAGCTCTATAGGACATGTGTTGTTCATTTGTTGTTTGTTGTTATTCTTAAGACATCATCTGGGGCAACTTTTGGTATCCACACAGCTTGTGGAGGTATGAAAAGGCTTTAAGAAAATGATTTATCAACCAGCAGCAAGAGGCTTCAAAAATTTATGATCAGGAAAGTACTTCTAAATAGCTCATGAGAGAAAAAGGAGATAACAATGAAAAATTTTTAATATTTAGACCTGGATAGTCATGAGAGTATCACATATCAAAACTTGTAAGTTTTGATGTAAGTAAATGCATAGCCTTAAATGCATGCATTTAAAAATGTAAGTCTAAAAATAAATGGGTTAGGATGAATAGGTAAGCAAAATGTGGTCTTTCCATACAGTGGAATACTATTCAGCCTTTAAAAAGGAAGGGGATTCTGCAATATGCTACAACATGGATGAAACTTGAGGACATAATGCTAAGAGAAATAAACCAGTCACAAAAAGACAAACACTGTACAATTCCACTTATGTGATGTGCCTAGAGTAGTGAAAATCACAGGAACAGAAAGTAGAATGGTGGTTGCTGAGGGCTAAGGGGAGGGAAGAATGCGGAGTTTTTGTTTAATGGGTATAGATTTGCAGTATTTCAAGATGAAAAGAGTTTTGGGGGTGGATGGGGGTAATGGATGCACAACAGTGTGAATGTATTTAATACCACTGAGCTATACACTCAAAACTAGTTGAACTGGTTAAAAAAAAATCATTGTATTCAACTGAAAAGACTATAAGAGAAAAGAAGAGATAAAACCTAAGTGAAGTAGAAAATAATAATAAGAGCATAAATTAAGGTAATAGGGACTTCCCTGGTGGCACAATGGTTTAAGAATCCACCTGCCAGAGCAGTGGACACGGATTCAAACCCTGGTCCGGGAAGATCCCACATGCCGCGGAGCAACTAAGCCCACACACCACAACAACGGAGCCAGCGCTCTAGAGCCTGTGAGCCACAGCTACTAAGCCCACATGCCGCAACTACTGAAGCCCGCATACCTAGAGCCCATGCTCTGCAACAAGAGAAGCCACTGCAATGAGAAGCCCGCACGCTGCAATGATGAGTAGCCCCTGCTCGCCACAACTAGAGAAAGCCTGCGCACAGCAACGAAGACCCAACACAGCCAAAAATAAATAAATTAAAACAACAAGAACAACAACACTGAGTGGAGAAACTGGAACCCTCATACACTGCTGGTGGAAATGTACAATGGTGCAGCCACTTTGGAAGACAGTCTGGCATTTTCTCAAAAGGGTAAACACAGTTATCACATGACCCAGCAATTCCACTCCTCAGTATAGACCCACAAGAAATGAAAGATACATCCACACAAAAACTTGTTTGAACAAATGCTCACAGCAGCATTATTCACAATAGCCAAAAAAGTGAAGACAACCCAAATGTCCATCAACTGATGAATGAATAAATAAAATGTGGTATATTCCTACAGGGGAATGTTACTTGGCAATAATGAGGGATGAAGTACTGATACATATTGCAACACAGTTAAATCTTGAAAACGCTATGCTAAGTGAAAGACACCAGTCACAATAGACCATAAGTTATATGATCCCATTTATATAAACTGTCTAGATTCTTTATCTACAAAGAAAACGTTATAGCAAATCAACAGAGAAAGAAAGTAGGTTAGTGGTTGCTTAGGGCTGGGGGTGGAGGAAAATAGGCGAAGGCAGGGACTGCTAAAGATTACAGGGTTTCCTTTTGGGTGAAAATGTTCTAAAATTGTGATGATGGTTGCATAACTCTAGTAATACACTAAAAACCTTTGAATATGTACCTTTAAAAGGGTGATTTGAATAGTATGTGAATTACATCTCAATAAAGCTATTAACAAAAAAAATTAAATTGAATGGAATTTAACCATTTAAATCACAACACATTATCATAAGGTTAATGAAATGACTAAGGCCAGCCTGTGCAGCCAGCCAGCAGGGAATTCCAGGGGTCTGGCCACACAATCCAAATCTGTCCTGGTCCTACCTGGGGTTTGGCATTACCTGATGGTGGTTGTCCATTCTAGCTTGTGTGTGTTTTTCATATTCTTTTCCATTATGGTTTATTACAGGATATTGAATATAGTTTCCTGTGCTAAACATAAAGACCTTGTTGTTTATGCATTCCATACGTAATCGTTTGCATCTGCTAATCCCATACCCCCATCAGCTTGTGTGTTGATGGATATCACTTGAGGTCCCGTGGCAACTGGAATTTCCAAAACAATGACAGTGATTCCAGGACAGTGATTCCCCAGTTAGTGGCTCAATTACACGGCCCAATTCAGAAAAATTAGGCTAGGCGAACACCTCCCCACCCATCAGCCCACCCCCGCCAACCCTTCTGTCTCCCACTTAATATGTACTTTGGCCAGCATTATCCTGGGGTTTTAGTGAAGTAGCCATTTTGCTACTAGTATATAGGCTATATGTTAGTAGGACTACAGTGATGCTTCTGTATCTGGAGAGATAGTAAAAGTTTCAACTGCAATACAAACATATTCATGAAAGAACATCAGAAGGATCATTTCCCATTCCCATGATATGTCTTTCATTCCAGTTTAAATCATGGAGAAAGGGGGGAAATGTGGGCATGGAGATGCACTGATATTGTTCAAGCTATTTTTACTCTCACAAAATGGGTCCCTCCCCTAATGGCCCCAATTTCTCCTAATAGATCATTTTTTATTAAAGCATATCATTTATCAGCCTTGTCTCTCTTTGATTCCTGGAAGACATTCTTTGAATATTTCAGGGAAAGACGTTACTAGCCATTTAAGTGGAATGCCCCCCATAATCAGTATGGCATTATACCTTGTATTCCAACTGAATCACATCCTGTCAGTCACACACTCTGATTATAGAAACAGGGGAATAGCCAGAGAAGAATTGATCTGTGTGTCTGTAGAGAACAAACGTATGGACACCAAGGGGGGAAAGTGGGGGGGCGGGGGATGAATTGGGACTGACATACGTACACTAATATGTATAAAATGGATAACTAATAAGAACCTGCTGTATAAAAAATAAATAAAATAAAATTCAAAAGTTCAAAAAAAAAACTGGGAAAAGAAAAAGAATTCATCTGTGTTTCAATGAAAAGCCTAATGCAGAGGGAAAACAAAATCTCCCCGTGTCTCAAAGAAATATAAGAAGTGTTGCTTCTAGAACGTGGGAATTCCAGAAACTATGATTTGCATGAGAAGAAACATTAATTTTAAGATTCAGAAGAAAAACTTCTAGAGGTTAGGGCCATAGATGGAAGTCAGGATGCTTGAGTGAGATCCTGACTCCATGATTGGAAGCTATTTACCTTAAACCAACTATGGAAGCTGTCCAAGAAATAGTTTCCTTTCCTGTAAAATGGGGTTAATTATGAAACATGCTTAGTACAGCACATGGCACAGAATAAATATTCAATAAATGTCATTTATTCTGTTAATTTCATCACTGCTGTCATTACTTGAAGTTAAAAGTTGGCTTCCGTGCTGTGCTGTAGTCATCAAGTTATCAAGATCATCCTTACATAAATCCCAGAATATGCAACTCTATGAAGTCATTACATTTGTCATAATAATATTCCTAATTTTACAGACTCTTCCAGGGAGATCGGTGTTTTCCAGTATTAACACGTTCTTAAATTGATGGTTAGCAGATATCTTGGAGTTCCACAGATGAGGAGTTTCAGGAAGCAGTGAAAGAAATTCACAGAGAAGGACTGGAAAATGCAAAAACTGGACCAGGTTGCATGCCCCCTGCACAGTCCAGGAGCCTACCCCATGTCAACTGCTCTGCAAAGAAGTTGTCACTTATGCTTGCAAGGCAGACTCCAAAGCAGAGCCGTACACTTTCATCAGGCAGAGTTGGGATTAGTACAGCTCTCTTCTCTCATCCAAACTGGGGTGTTTTGTTGGTTTGTTTCATTTGTTTATTTTTTATTTTTATTTTATTTTTTTTTGGTGTGTTCCATTTGTAAAGTCAGTAATCAATGTCTTAAGAAGGCATCACTTTCATAAAGCAGATCTGGGGTTTTAGTGTTTCATTTCTATAATAAAATAACATATCATCAG